TCAATGACAGCCAAGCTGGATATAGTATTCTTGGCTGCATATTTTTCTCATTTAGTGCTGTGAATATATCCTGCCAGTCCTTTCTGGCCTGCCAGGTCTCTGTGGATAGGTCTGTTGCCAATCTAATGTTTCTACCATTGTAGGCTACAGAGCTCTTATCCCGAGCTGCTTTCAGGATTTTCTCTTTGTCTCTGAGACTCGTAAGTTTTACTATTATATGTCGGGGTGTTGACCTATTTTTATTGATTTTGAGAGGGGTTCTCTGTGCTTCCTGGATTTTGATGCCTGTTTCCTTCCCCAAATTAGGGAAGTTCTCTGCTATAATTTGCTCCATTATACCTTCTGCCCCTCTCTCTCTTTCTTCTACTTCTGGGATCCCAATTATTCTAATGTTGTTTCATCTTATGGTATCGCTTATCTCTCGAATTCTGCCCTCGTGATCCAGTAGTTGTTTATCTCTCTTTTTCTCAGCTTCTTTATTTTCCATCATTTGGTCTTCTATATCACTGATTCTCTCTTCTGCCTCATTTATCCTACCAGTTAGTGCCCCCATATTTGATTGCACCTCATTAATAGCCTTTTTGATTTCAACTTGATTAGATTTTAGTTCTTTTACTTCTCCAGAAAGGGTTTCTCTAATAACTTCCATGCTTTTCTCAAGCCCAGCTAGTATCTTTAAAGTGATGATTCTGAACTCTAGATCTGATATCGTACTAATGTCCGTATTGAGTAGGTCCCTGGCAGTCGGTACTACCTCTTGTTCTTTTTGTTGAGGTGATTTTTTCCATCTTGTCATTTTGTGCAGGGGAGAATAGATTAATGAGAGAACAAAATGCTAGCAGAGTAACAACATCCCCAGAAAATATACTCTAAACAAATCAGAAAAGACCTGAAGCAGTGGGAAAAGAAAGGGAAAGAGAGAAAAAAGAAAAAGAAAAAGAAAAAGATAAAGATAAAACAGAAACAGAACAAAACAAAACAACAACAACAAAAAAACCAGAATGTGATCAAATATGATCAGGCTGGTATATAGATCAGTTCCACACCCTAGATTTTGGGTGTATTTTGGTCTGTTAGAAGAAAGTGCCTCCCAAAATTTTAAAGAAAGAAAAACTTATATATGTACAAAAATAAGGGTTGATATGTTGAAGGGATGGAATATGACTGTAAATATGGAAATTATAAAAAATTTTATAAAAGGAATTGATAAGAAGTTGTTTGAAAAAAGAAAGAGGATTTAAAAAAAGAAAAAAGAAAAAAAAGGGAGAGAATGTGATCAGGCAGGGGAGTAGAAAAAAAGCATATACTAGAGATTTAGGGTATATTTTGATCTGTTAGAAGAAACTATCTCAAAATTTTAAAGAGAGAACAACTTATATATATATGCCTTAAATACGGGTAAGTACTATGAAGGGATAGAATATGCTTCTAAAAATGAAAAATAAAAATGTTTTTTAAAAAAGGGATTGATAAGATGTTGGTTGAAAAAGGGAAAAAGAGGGGCGCCTGGGTGGCTCAGGCGTTAAGCGTCTGCCTTCTGCTCAGATCCCACAGTCCTGGGATCAAGCCCCACATTGGGCTCCCTGCTCCGCAGGAAGCCTGCTTCTCCCTGCTTCTCCCTCTCCCACTCCCCCTGCTTGTGTTCCCTCTCTCGCTGTCTCTCTCTCTGTCAAATAAATAAATAAAATCTAAAAAAAAAAGGGAAAAAGAAAAAAAATTCAAAAAAAAAGAAAAAAGACAGTTAAAAAAAATTAACTTTGAAAGACTAAAGAATCATGGTAAAAAAAACCATGGATTCTATGTGCAGTATTCCCCTAGCGCTGGAGTTCTGCCCTTCTCATTGATCGGTAAACTTGGTCTTGGTTGGCTGTTCTCGCTGATCTTCTGGGGGAGGGGCCTGTTGCCGTGGTTCCCAAATGTCTTTGCTGGAGGCGGAATTGCCCCGCCCTTGCCCAGTCCGGGCTAAGTAATCTGCTCGGGTTTGCTCTCCAGAGCTTTTGTTCCCTGCGAGCTTTCCGTACAGCTTTGGAGGTGGAGAGTGAAAATGGCCACCTCCCAATCTCTGCCCCAGAGAAGCTGAGAACTCGGGTCCCCACTCCTCAGTGAGCCCCCAGAGAAAAGCCGCCAGTCACTCCCGTCTCCCCGGTCTCCGGCCGCACTCCGTGCTCACCCGGCCTGTGACCGCGCCTTTCTCTCTGGCACCCGACTCTGGGTGGAGTCTCCAAACCCAGCAGATCCCTGCGGTGTGCTCCCCTGCCTCTCCTCCTGGGGGAAGAAGGTGAGTTTCCCCGGATCTGCTGCTTGTTGGGTCCCTGCTGGAAGAGCAGGGGCCCGACTGTGCCGCGGATCCCGGTTTATGGCAACCCTGAGCTGGACTTCTCCGCACATCTTACCTTCCAGAAAGTGGTTGCTTTTTTGTTTATAGAATTGCTGCTCTTCTTTTCTTTGATCTCTTGTTGAATTTGTAGGTGTTCTGAATGGTTTGATAACTATCTAGCTGAATTCCTGGGACCAGACGAAATTTAAGTCTCCTACTCCTCCACCATCTTGCTCCAACCCTTTTTTCAAGTTTTTCTCATTGTCTTTGACATTCTGCAGTTTGACAACGATTTGGCTAGATTTGCATCTCTTTGTCTTTATCCTATTTTGATTTGATCGAGCTTTGTAGATGTGCAAATTAATGTTTAGCATAAAATTTGGGGAGTTTTTGGTAATTACTTCTTTAAATATTCTTTCTTCCCTATTCTTTCTTTTCCCTTTCTTGAACTTCCATTATGTATGTTTTGGTATACTTGATGATGTTCCACAAGTTCCTGAGGCTCTGTTTATTGTTCTTTTTTTAAAGAAGATTTATTTATTTTTTTGAGAAAGAGAGAGAGAGTGCAAGTGCAAGTGTGGAGGGACATAGGGAGAGGGAGAGGGAGAGAAGCAGACTTCCTGCTGAGCCTGGAGCCTGATGTAGGGCTCAATCTCACAACCCTGAGATCATGACCTGAGCCGAAATCAAGAGTTGGATGCTTAACTGACTGAGCCACCCAGGCACCCCTGTTTATTATTCTTAATTTTTTTCTTTTCCTGATGGCTCACAATTGAACTGTCTTCAAATTTGCTGATTCTTTCTTCTGCCAGCTAAAATCTGGGATTGAGCCTTCCAGTGAATTTTTTGTTTAATTTATTGTACTTTTCACCGCCAGCATTTATATTTATTTGAACCTTTTAAAATTATTTTTTGTCTCTCTATTATTATTCACTATTTTGGTGAGACATAGTTGTCATGCTTTCTTTGAAGTTTTCAACCATATGTTCTCTGAACGTATTAATAATAAATGATTCGAAGTCTTTGTCTAATTCATTGAAACTATACATTGTATAAAAAAATAAAGTCTTTGTGTATTAAGTTCAACATCTGGTCCCCCTCAGGGAGATTTTCTGTTGTTTTCCCCCCTGTGTATATGGTATATGTTTTGTTTCTTTACCTTTCATATAATTTTTTGTTGAACACTGGATGCTATTTTTTAAAAAGATTTATTTATTTATTTGAAAGAGAGAGAAAGGGCACAGTGGGGGTAGGGGCAGAGGGAGAGAGAACCCTCAACCAGACTCCCACTGAGCGCAGGGCGGGAGGCGGGGCTCAATCCCAGGACTCTGAGATCATGACCTGAGCCAAAATCAAGAGTCAGCCAATTAACCAGATTAACCGACTGAGCAATCCAGGTTCCCTGAAGACTCGACACTTTAGAGAACATAGTGTAATAGCTCTGGTGTCAGACCCCTGCTTTCCAGTTTTTAAAAAATGTTTATTTTTATCTTTCTGCTGTTTATTTGTTTAGCGAATTTCCTAAGCTGCAAAGAGAGAGGATATGGGAATAGCCTCAAGTTAAAACACCACAGTTCCTACTGTCTTACTGAGGTTCAGTAATTTCTTTGGATAGATGATTGTTAGTTTGTTCTGAGGGGTTGGCTAATTTCTAGAGTTCTAAAATTATTGATTTTAGCTATGTTTCCAGGAATTTGTTTCTGTGGAAGGATGGGTTCACTGTGCTCCTTACTTAACCATGAAGGATGTTGATCTACCATCAATACATCTTTTAAAAAATTAAAATATAATGGAATAGAACAGTATTTGTGCATTGCCTGTAGTAAAGTTAGGTATTGTTTTATGAAGTTTTTAATTCTAAATGTGTATATTTAATGCTCTGTAATGTAAAATATACTTTTTACTGTGGGTCCTAATTTTTAAAAAGCCAGTATAAAATGTATATTATATAAACCTAAGCATGCATCAGAATCACTTGGAGGGATAGTTAAAATACATGTTTCTGAGCTCCATTTCACTGTTTCTGATTCAGTAGGTTGAGAGGGGGGTGAGAATTTGCATTTGTAAATCAAGGTCCCATATGATACTGATGCTGCTGCTCTGAAAACCACACTTTGAGAACCACTGCGTAACACCAATTTTTTTCAGTCTTGGTTGAAAATTAGAATTACCCACACACCTGGGTGGCTCAGTTGGTTAAGCGTCTGCCTTCAGCTCAGGTCATGATCCTGGAGTCCCAAGATCGAGTCCCGCATTGGGCTCCCTGCTCAGCAGGGAGTCTGCTTCTCCTTCTGACCCTTCCCCCTCTCATGCTCTCTCTCTCATTCTCTCTCTCTCAAATAAATAAATAAAATTTTTTAAAAAGGGGGGCAAAATACTATAAAATATTTAAAAAAAGAAAATTAGAATTACCTATGAAAGTTTTAAAATATGAGGATGTCTAATCCCTACCCCAGACTAATTGAATCTGATCTCTAGAAGTGGGGCACAACATTTCTGATGTACATAAGGAGTTGATCTCTGTACTAGATTGTGACTTTTTTTTTAGGGCAGGACTGAGTCTTTTGTCTTCTGTCCTCAGTTTGACCTTATATAGGTATTTAATATATGTTGAATGAATTGTCATAAAATGGTTCTAGGGTTGGGGCGCCTGGGTGGCTCAGTTGGTTAAGCAACTGCCTTTGGCTCAGGTCATGATCCCGGAGTCCTGGGATCGAGTCCCACATCGGGCTCCCGGCTCAGCAGGGAGCCTGCTTCTCCCTCTGATCCTATCCCCTCTCATGCTGTTTCTCTCTGTCAAATGGATAAATAAAAAATCTTAAAAAAAAAAAATGGTTCTAGGGTTTTCTAACAGTGGAGAACAGATTACCCTTAGATGAGACAAGGTTTTAAAGATAAAAAGGGGCAGACTGGCCTAGTGCTTTTCCCAATGAAGAATGCTGGTTCTACCCCTTCCTGTATCTCACATACAAAGAGGGGCTTCAGGATTGTGCAGGACTTCTATCTATAAGAAATTATTACCCAGTGCAGGAGGAGTAAAGGAAACTTAAGTTGGTGATATCTTTTCAACACAGGCATGAAGAAGAGCCCATCCTGGATTTTCCTGCCGTGGAACTTCAGAGAAAGGCTGATTTTTTCCATGGCTTGTTTTTATCTACCTCAGCATTTCCTCTTCTTCAGTTTCTTTCTTCTGAAAGGAGTGCTGGTAATGGCAAAGGCTGCAGAGCTCCTAAAACCAGACCCCAGGTAAGTAAATTTTCCCTCTGCCTTTCCTCATATTCAGCCTTGGAACCTGAATTTGCCCTCAACTATTTTCTGTAGCCTGTCTTTCCTACAGAGGCCCCATGGCACAGCTCTGTCTCTCAGGTACCTAGTCTAATCCTGTTACATAGTCACTATTTATGTGTTATTCTCTAGATGCCTTCCTAACAGTGATGTTACTGTTAGTCAAGTGCATTCACTGTTTTTATCTCTAACATATCCTCATGACATAGCTGGGAAGATGAACACTACAAGGTAAGCCTGACAGAGCAGTATGATTTTTTCCCACTATGTAGCCTCTACTTTTTAAAAAATTTTATTTTACTATATTAATCATCATACAATACATGATTAGTTTTTGATGTGGTGATCCATGATTCATTGTTTTCATATAACACCCAGTGCTCCATGCAGTACATAGCCTCCTTAACACCCATCACCAGGCTAACCCATCCCCCCACCCCCATTTGGATGTCTTCTTTGGGAAAGTGTCTGTTCATGACTTCTGCCCATTTTTTGACTTGATTATTTGTTTTTTGGGTGTTGAGTTTGAGAAGTTCTTTATAGATCTTGGATACCAGCCCTTTATCTGTAGTGTCATTTGCAAATACCTTCTCCCATTCTGGGGGTTGCCACTTTGTTTTGTTGACTGTTTCCTTTGCTGTGCAGAAGCTTTTTATCTTGATGAAGTCCCAAAAGTTCATTTTTGCTTTTGTTTCACTAGCGTTTGGAGATGCATCTTGAAAGAAGTTGCTGTGGCTGATGTCAAAGAGGTTACTGCTTACGTTCTCTTCTAGGATTTGGATGGATTCCTGTCTCACATTGAGGTCTTTCATGCATTTTGAGTTTATTTTTGTGTATGGTGTTAGAGAATGGTCGAGTTTCATTCTCCTGCATGTGGCTGTCCAATTTTCCCAGTGCCATTTATTGAAGAGACTGTCTTTTTTCCATTGCATGTTTTTTCCTGCTTTGTCAAACATTATTTGACCATAGAGTTGAGGGTCCACATCTGGGTTCTCTATTCTGTTCCACTGGTCTATATGTCTGTTTTTTGTGCCAGTACCATGCTGTCTTGGTGATCACTGCTTTGTAATATAGCTTGAAATCGGGCAACGTCATGCCCCCGGCTTTGTTTTTCTTTTTCAACATTTCCTTGGCAATTCGGGGTCTTTTCTGACTCCATACAAATTTTAGGATTGTTTTTTCCAGCACTTTGAAAAATGTCATTGGAATTTTGATCGGGATGGCATTGAAGGTATAGATTGCTCTGGGTAGCATAGACATTTTAACAATGTTTATTCTTCCGATCCATGAGCATGGAATGTTTTTCCATCTTTTTGTGTCTTCTTCAATTTCTTTCATGAGTGTTGGGTAGTTCCTAGAGTATAGATCCTTTACATCTTTGGTTAGGTTTATTCCGAGATATCTTACATTTTTTGGTGCTATTGTAATGGAATCATTTCTCTAATTTCTCTTTCTACAGTTGCACTGTTAGTGTATAAGAAAGCAACTGATTTCTGTGCATTGATTTTGTATCCTGCCCCATTGCTGAATTGCTGTATGAGTTCTAGTAATTTGGGGGAGGAGTCTTTTGGGTTTTCCACATAAAGTATTATGTCATCTGTGAAAAGAGAGAGTTTGACTTCTTCTTTGCCAATTTGAATACCTTTTATTTCTTTTTGTTGTCTGATTGCTGTTGCTAGGACTTCTAGTACTATGTTGAACAACAGTGGTGAGAGTGGGCATCCTTGACGTGTCCCTGATCTTAAGGGAAAGGCTCTCATCTTTTCCCCATTGAGGATGATACTCGCTGTGGGTTTTTCATAGATGGATTTTATGAACTTGAGGAATGTTCCCTCTATCCCTATACTCTGGAGAGTTTTAATCAGGAAAGGATGTTGTATTTTGTCAAATGCTTTTTCTGCATCAATTGAGAGGACCATATGGTTCTTCTCTCTCCTCTTATTAATGTGTTCTATCACATTGATTGATTTGCGAATGTTGAACCACCCTTGCATCCTGGGGATAAATCCCACTTGGTCGTGGTGGATGATCCTTTTAATGTATTGTTGGATCCTATTAGCTAGGATTTTGTTGAGGATTTTGGAATCCATATTCATCAGAGATATCAGTCTGAAATTCTCCTTTTTAATGGGGTCCTTGCCCGATTTGGGGATTAAGGTAATGCTGGCCTCATAGAATGTGTCTGGAAGCTTCCCTTCTGTTTCTAGTTTCTGAAACAGCTTCAGGAGAATAGGTATTATTTCTTCTTTGAATGTTTGGTAGAATTCCCCAGGGAATCCATCAGGCCCTGGACTCCTGTTTTTGGGGAGGTTATTGATCACTGCTTCAAATCTCTACTGGTTATTGGCCTATTCAGGTGGTCAATTTCTTCCTGTTTCAGTCTTGGGAGTTTATAGGCTTCCAGGAAGGTATCCATTTCACCCAGGTAGCTCAGTTTATTGGCATATGATTGTTGATAATAATTTCTAATAATTGTTTCTATTTCCTTGGTGTTAGTCGTGATCTCTCCCCTTTCATTAATAATTTTATTAATTTGGTCCTTTGCCTTTTCTTTTGGATAAGTCTGGCCAGTGGTTTATCGATCTTATTAATTCTTTCAAAGAACCAGCTTCTAGTTTTGTTGATCTGATCTACTGTGTTTCTGGTTTCTAATTCATTGATCTCTGCTCTAATCTTAATTATTTCTCTTCTAATGCATGGCTTAGGCCGCATTTGTTGCTTATTCTCTAGTTCTTTAAGGTGTAGAGTTAGTTGGTGAATTCGGGATTTTTCTATTTTTTTGTGTGAGGCTTGGATGGCTATGTATTTCCCCCTTAGAACCGCCTTTGCAGTATCCCATAGGTTTTGAACCGATGTGTTTTCATTCTCATTGGTTTCCATGAATTGTTTAAGTTCTTCTTTGATTTCCTGGTTGACCCAAAGATTCTTGAGCAGAGTGGTCTTTAGCTTCCAAGTGTTTGAATTTCTGCCAAATTTTTTCTTGTGATTGAGTTCCAGTTTTAAAGCATTGTGGTCTGAGAATATGCAAGGAATAATCGCAGTCTTTTGGTACCGTTTTAGACTGATTTGTGACCCAGTGTGTTATCTCTTCTAGAGAATGTTCCATGTGCATTGGAGAAGAATGTGTATCCTGTTATTTAGGATGGAATGCCTTGTATATTTATCTGTGAAGTCCATCTGATCCAGTGTGTCATTCAAAGCCCTTGTTTCCTTGTTGATCTTCTGCTTAGATGATCTCTCCATTGCTGTGAGTGGGGTGTTGAAGTCCCCTACTATAATTGTATTATTATCAATGTGTTTCTTTAATTTGGTTATTAATTGGTTTATTAATTAATTGGTGTATTAATTAATTGGCTACTCCCAAGTTAGGAGCATAAATATCTACAATTGTTGGATCTTCTTGTTGGATAGACCCTTTAAGTATGATATAGTGTCCTTCCTTATCTTTTTTACAGTTTTTGCTTTAAAATCTAATTTGTCTGATATAAGGATTGCTTTCCATGTAACTTAACATATTAAATAAGCCTAATTATTCAAAAAGACTTCATTTAGGATTTGAATTTCCAGGAATTTGGTTTTTAAGAAAGCCTCAGAATGTTTTTAAAGCATGTGGCTACATAAGATCATTGATTATTCTAAAACCTAATATTTAATTATCTGTTTAACCAAGGTTTCCATAACAGATTTTACAGAAAGTTGTATAGTTGTTAGCAAAACTTTGCTACTTTCATATTGAGAAGATTTAGTTTTCTTAAGTAATCAAAGACCTGAAAAAAAATACAGAAAACTTGTTTATAATTTCTCATCAAGAGCAGATCAATAATCCAAGAAAGTCCCTTTTTTTTTTTTTACAGAAAGAAAGCCAAATTTTTAATTTTATATCCGTGTAATTTTAAGGCTCAATTATTCCAATCTTATTCCTGAGTACACATAAAATCTTTTTCCAAAGATTTCCCTTCACAGACCTTCTATAACTTTCTTTTGCATTTAAATTTTGTGCTAATTCTTCCCTCTCTACCTAACGAGTCTCATTTCGGGACAGCTTATTTCCTTTTCTGTCATCAAAAATGTATTCTCATTCCTTATAGTTTTCTTACATATCTCCTACTTTCCTACATACAGAGTTGCTTTCTTTATCATTTTCCAGACGTCTCAATCATACTTATCAGAATTTTAATTCTTGGAAACCTTAGTCGCCTCTGAAAACTAACATGTAAGAAACTGTGAATTTTTACACCAGAATTCTTTAGATTGGCAAATCTGTGAATATATTTCAAAATTTCTAGAAACGTCTTTTGTTTATAGTACAGTCTTTCGGTAAGGCACAAAGCATGTTCACCAAGAGACCCAAGTATCTTTAGTTTCTCTGCAACAAGAAGCCAAAAGCAGACAAAGATATGTTCAGTAATTGATGCTTAAGTATTTTATCCTATTTGGAAAAGACTTAGATACCCACTGAATTTAACCTAATTTATCATTTAACATTGCAAAACTTCAAAGTTTTAGGTTACCAGTAATTTTTGAAAGCCATTGAAAGGTTTATCTATAAATGTTTTTATTTATTTAACTTACTTGTTCCTAACAAATTTTCATGAAAACTTCATGAGACAGACAAAATCAACCATTAACTCCCCTCTGCTGACAGGTCGCAACAGAGATAACATGAATTTAACTAATAAATTCAGGTAGAACAAAAGTTGGTTATCTGTATTATATTTGAAGTTGATAACACTAAAGAGAAGTTGATTTTAATCAAATCAGCAACCTTAAATTAGCTTTAATATCGAATATGTTGTACCTGTATCCACTAAAAAAATCAACCTGTTCCCCACTGGTCCATTTTATTTGGGGCTCCCGTGGGGAGGTTAAAGAGGGTGGTTGAAGTCCAGGGGAGCCCTTGGGCTCCTTCATGTTGACTTGGGAGGTGCTTCAGTTTGACCTCATAAGGAGGGGGCCCAAAA